GGTGGGCTGAGGGGTCGGCTGCTACCCGACTCAAAGGGCTCAGCCTGTCGAGTAGCAGCTCGGTCGAGGGTTGGTAGTTCAACCTAGTCGTGCCGACTTTGGTGTTCAGACACCCCAATAGGGCGGTCGCCTCAAGAGGGACCTCTTGTTTGGGGGCATACTTGCTCCATGCACTGTGCTAAGTATTCCATACAATCGAGGACCGCCTGAAACTGCTCATTTGTAACCAGGTTCTGAGTGTTCCTGGCTCTTCGTACCATGGTGCTTGAAGCTAGGGAGGTTTTTAGTTTTTAATGCTTTAGGGGATCATCTTAGCAATGTTTCCCACAGATGGCGCCAATTGTTGATGCTTGGATTGGCCGAGGACAACAAGGAAATTTCACTCCCGAGCTTCGGTGGAGATGGCTGAAGGTTTCGAAGGTCCGAAGGAGGGGAATCTGAGGCCGAGGTCTATATTCGAGGCGGAAGGTCTTCTTCGGATATTGTAGGGGCCGAAGGCTGGCACCGAGTATGATGTGCGAGGGGTCCGAAGGAAATCCTACAAGGATAGAAGTATCAGAGGCCTCGGGTGAGTACCCGAGGTGAGGACTCCGACGATCAAATTAGTGTGAATGTAAAATGAGTCAGAGGTTTGGAGCCGAAGGGTCCAGACGAGGACTAAATAGCACTTAAGTTTTCGAGAGGGAAATAGTGCTTAGAGATTGCTCAAGCCCCAAATCGAATTCAGAATCTCTAGCCCCTTACCTTGTTTGGGGTGCTTCGTATTTATAGCTAGAGTTGCCTAGGAGTAGTTGGGCCTGGATGGTTCATATACGAGCCGTACAAGGGCTTGGCAAGATCCTTTGCCGGAGCCACACGGTGCTCTTGGATTGGGTCCGTCCAATCTGTGCCTGAGCCCTGAGTGTCCCCATAGTACGCTTAGATTGGCACCCTCTGGTTGAACACGTGTCAGCTCCGTACAAATACGCCTACATCAAAGGTTATTGAAATTACTAAACTTCAGGGGAGGGATAATTATGATCAGCTGAACACGATGGCTGGGCTATGGAACCAAATATAACACCAGATCACTTTGACTGACATACTGGACTGTTTTTGGAGCCTCTGCACATGATACCTTAGCGGTCCTCATTTGTCTTCTCAATTAAAAGAATGTCAAGTGTAAATTCAATTTTACCCAAACTCATGACTAAATGCCATTCACAGCAGCCAATGGAGAATTATCATTAATTCCACAACCTGATGAACGGAACAGCTATTATATACGTTCAACGAGGTTTCCGCAATTTACCCTTTTTGAAAAAAAAAAATTAAAACGATATCCAGCTGCTACATAGAGAGGGCTGTGGCGCCGAAGTTTGTCTAGTTGGTGGGATCTGGTCTGAAATGACAGATCACCCATGTGCACGATTCAAAATCTAAAAGACTAAAAACGGTGGGCTTACGGTATGACGAGTTGCCCCCCCACGTTGAAAATCCATGAATGTCATCTACTCATTAATCTTTTCAGAATGATGTGCCTTGGCGACCCAAATGGATCAAAATTGATTTTCTAACAAATCAATTACGCAGAGTCCAATAATTGTGCCCATGTTCTAACAAATCTTGCTGTAAGTAAACCAACTCTATCCTACAGCATTATTTTGATAAACCAGTAAAACCACTGGATGTAATGCCTAGATTTGTCTTAGTGGGGTTGCTTAACCTACACTACACTGTGGTGGTGTTTGGTAGTGTCGTGTCGGGATTGTATGATTTTTGTCACGCGACGCAAATTATAGGTGTAAAGTCCTTTAGTGCTGTTAATTGGAGGTATTTATAATCGAGTTCAAATCTGCCCTTCACATAATGCGCCCCAAAAATGTCCCATGATACATCCCAACAGTGTATTGAGAATATTTTACAATGACAAATATAGGAGATGCTTTCAATGCACGCTGAGATGTGCATGTGAGACGTTTTTGGGATACAACCTGCAGTGGGAGGCTGATGTGAACTCTTTATAATCCTTCTTTCAAGGAGGGTCCCACTATATCTAATGTCAAAATTTGAATTGATGGTTAGGGGTGGCAACGAGTCGAGTTTTTCACGAGCTGCTTATAAATTATAGAAACTAATATATATAATAAAAATATTATAATTATTAATTATTATAATTCCTAATTTTTTAAATTTAAAATAAAAAACTATATATAGTTTTTATTTTTATAAAATATTTTTCTCAAAATCAAGCTCGAGCCTTGTAGAATTGTCTCGAGCCAAGCTCGAGCTTGGTACTATTCGGCTTGGCTCAACTCGAATCCACCCCTGCTGATGGCCATCACAAGGCTTCATTTCAGGTGTCTCAGATCTTATTAAAGAAGAGACCAGATCTACTCCTCACTCAGGGTGTCTCACACCAACTTCACATACACATCCCATCATGCATTGGAAACATCTCCCGTGAACAAATCCCAATTCATCAAAGAAGGTACATCATCACCTCTTTTGCCCGTTCATGTGTTGCCTGGCGTTCGAGGCAGTTCTCCACCTCCCGTCCTGGTTCCCCTATGCCATATTAATCGAACTTCATTAATGCAAAATCTTCCCTACATCAGTAGTGTTAATTTCTTGGCTGATGTGGATGCATGTATTGTGGGAGAATCTCCTTCCCTTCCTCTAAACGTATCCTTATCATAAATAAGTCCTAATGATCACTTCAAAAAGGCGATTGAACCACTCGTCCATCACTAATGACTCGGTTTGGAAGAGCATAAATACAAATACATATAAAAATATAAAATAATACAAATTGTAAACGGAGCCTAGTGATGAGACATCAAACGAGAATTCAAATTAGATGAACGCTTTTAACTTTAGCAAACTGTGGAATCAATTCATAATGTTCCATGCCGGTGTTGAAATAATAGGGCTCACAACTAGGGATTTAAAATTTTTTTGGGTCCCATGTATATTATCACTAGCGTGGAGCGCTATCAGTGACTCCGGAGCCTGTTAGAACAATTATTGCATTGTCCTATCTCATGAGACGGAAGCATGACCGTTGGGATGGCATCATCATTCATGTGCCTGTTTTGCTTTTTATAGGCATTGGGTCCCGCTTCAACAGAGTTCACATCTCCTCCCCACAAGGGGCCGCCCCACTACATCCCACAGCACATCTTCCATGATGATATTATCGGTTTTGGTACTATCAGATGTTTTCAATACACGGCAAGAATGTGTTATGGGACTTTGTGGGGCAGCCCTGATGATACGCTATCCACTCACTCCCTTGTGTTAATGACTTGGTTCGAATTAGGTTCAGATCTAGCAATGTCGAGCTAGTAACTATAAGTCAAAGCTGAGAAGGGCTGAGAAAAGAGAAGAATTAGAGTGTTTGGGTAGGTTTTACCCAAGCGAACACTCCGATGCTTAAGTTGGTAAGGAGATTTTAGTAAGAGTATGTGAGAGAGTTCAAGAGCTTTTGTGCGCATACCTTTCAGAGTGATCTTGGGGTCCTTTTATAGCTATTTGAGGTTCAGATGCCATCAGGCAACGTCTTTGAGTCTGCTGCGGAGATGTTTCCGCAATTTGGAGTGCGTTGGACTGTTAGTTTCTAGGTTCGCCTACGGTTACAAGTCGCTCGTGGGTCTTGTGGCATACAGTTCGGCAAGCTGTTCCTATTGTCGCAGTAACTGTGTTCGTGTGGGTGTGGCATGCGAGACGGTTTCTGGGCGAGCTAGCGTTGTCAGTGGTCTAAGCTCGCCCCAGCTCGGCCGCACTCCTGTTGTCGATTGCTACGTGCTGGTTTGTCAAGTTGTATTGCTGAGTTGGACGCTATGTCTCAAACAGCGTCCACGTGTCAATGATGACCAAAATGCCCCTCATCAGGCCTCTTGTGGGGAGATTTGATCTTGCTTCAACAATACCCAAGTGGTGCAAGTGCTATTGCGTGGCCTAGTGTAAACACGTGGCTCCCATCCATTGGTCGATCTCTATATCTACAAAACTCCCCTGGCATGTGGTTCATTTGAAGATATCATGATCCATTTCATTGGTCCACACTACAACATGCATTGAACCATGAATTTTGAACCGTCATTGACCTGAACAATCAAACCTTTTGACTCAATAGTCTGCTGACTCGAATGGTCAAAATGTCAACCTATTTGACCCGAACGATGGTTTTTGGCTACTTTTTTATTTTAATTATTTTGTATTTTTTAAAATTACAATAAATCACCCATTTAGACTAGGAAAATGAAATGCTGACCCAAAAACCAATACCCAAAGCGATTCCTATTCCAGATCAATTTTTAAAAGGGAAAATTCCTTTTCAGTACCCTCTAACTTGGGAGTTGTGTTAAGTCAGTTACTGAACTTCAAAACGTGTCTCTATGGTACCCTAAACTTTCAAATCGTGTCTAATATGTCCCTGTCATTAGTTGACTGTTAGTCAACACCATCACGTGACATTAGGTGTAAATTAAATAATTATAAAATGGCAAAATTACCCTTTATGGTATTTTTCTAATCATTTTACCCATTTCGTTGAATGTTAAAAAAAATGGAAAGGAGAAAAAGGGTTATGAAACTAAACACCAATCAACTATTGAAGCTCCTGCTCCCCAAACGTGCAAAAGAAGACTATAAGAGCTCAACATTAACGAACACAACGATTCTCCACTACAATCGTCGCATCTGAAGCGCTACCATTTCAAGTTGTTCAACTCTTGAATTGGTTTGTATAAAACTGATAGAAAAAGAAAATTAGATAACACCTGATGAATATTTCTATCATTTTACTTATTTGTTAACATCTATTAATGAATAATAACCTATTAAACATAATTTAAAGTTCAATATGATATAGAAAAGCTTCAAAGTTTAAAGATTGACTTGACACAACCCCTAAAATACAAGTTACTTATCAGTAATTTTCCCATTTTAAAACATTGAATTGAATTAAACATCTTTGAAGTCTCATGCAATAATGCATGACATCTTTAAACAGTATATGATATAATTTTGTCCACGCTCATGTATAGGCCTAATAGATTGAATTGCTCAAAGCTCTATTTTGCTTACATTATGGAACAAAGTCAATAACTTTGTCCTTCAGATAAAAAAAAAATACATGATGGATGCGTTTAGGTAAATTTCCATGTCATTCTATCATTACACTGTAACAAAAGGAATAAGACCAACTACAAAACACAGACATGTATAGGAAAGAAATGGGGAAAAAAGAATTTTTCTACAAAATTGTCGATGTCTCGTACACTGTGCATTTTGGTTACGTGTTTGTCTCGATACCTGTATGTTTATTTCCGACTCCGACCACCTAATGTACAGATCTCCGTCGCCGGCGGAGCTTCCCAATTGACGGTCCGTCTTTTCATCCCTTCGAAACGACCAACACAATCCGCCAAGCTTAACGATCCAACTCTCTTTCTAGCTGCGGCGAGTTTCTTACCGGCAGCATGGTCGAAGATCTTCTCCCACCCAGACTCCCACTCGGCGTGGGCGTCGCAGAGCTGAAGACTCCCGCCGGACCAATCGGTCCAACTCCAGCCCCGGTCAAGAGTGCCCATAACGTTGGCGACGCAAGGCCCGGCACAGACAGGTGTGCAGGGCCTGCACTTGGCCCCGCTGAGCGGGCCCGGACTGGAGATGGAAGCGACGGGAACTCCGTAGCGGCCGGGGGGGAACGAGTATTGGCGGTCGGTGACGACGCAGAATGGTAGGCGGTTGGTGAAGTAGGGGACGCCTTGAGTGGTGAGTTGGGCTTTGAAGGCAGCCTCAGAGTTGAGTTGGGTGAAGCCGGCAGAGTTGAGGCCGGGGATGAGGGACAGGCGGGAGAGGGCAACGATGGAGGTGTTGAGGTCGCCGATGCCGAGACGGTCGTTGAGTCCACCATAGCTGGAGCCGGGGGGAACCAGGTAGCGGCCGGGTACGAAGTTTTCGGGCTGGAGCGGGGCGGACCAGTAGCCGTCCACCCGGGTACGGACTATCCAGTCATAGGTGAAATTGTTTTGCATTTGATACGTTTTGATCATTGTGAAGCATCCCTCCACAAGGTTGAAGTATTGCAGCAGACCCTACACAAACAAACACAAGCATATCTTATCATTCAGATAATTAATAAATAAATAAATGAAGTACAACTAAAATTACAAAACTGTCATTTTCAGGATTCCAGATCAACAGAGAGACATAAGAGTAATAGACAAGTTGAAGTGAATTGTCCATTTGTGTTAGGTCAACCGTATCACTCATCCGAGCAATTAAGGAGTTCACATCTCCGCCCCATAACGTCCCACAGTAAATCCTCGCCGTGTATTGGAATTCGCTGTGGGACATTGTGGGGCGGAGGTGTGATCTCATCAAGAAGTGGGATCCCTTGCCAATGGAATGAGTTCGGATCACTTGTAAATAAAATACGTTCAAACCCTTTACCAACATGATCTTACACCACATATTTCATATATGTGGGGTTTCACTTTTGAATTAGGATCTGTTTCTCATAAATTCATAGCTACATCTACCCTATATTATAAATATCTCTTTATGAATAATAAATACAAGTTCGAAAGATATTTCCGATGTAGAACCAAGATATATTGTGAAATTGGTATAAGATACACGATGTGAAGTGTGGTGTTAGATCAAGGATTATAACGTGTTTTTATTGGCAGAAAATCTCAACTCCAAATAACTCCCATTGAACATGTTTCAATACCCTCTTAACATAACTAACCCAGCACATCCTACCATGATACTGGGCCCACTATAAAATAGGGCTCACCATGTATAAGATGTATATTGGGAGGGTGTTGGAACTGTTCTGTTAGTAGGAGATTCAGACATGGTAAGTAATAGTCATCTTTCTGCTCCCATGTAGGTAAATAATTTGTCTAAAATTGACAAATCGTATTGAGAAAATTTTGTTCATTTTAATAATAACATTTTATGTATAAAAAGGTTATTATATATTTATGTAAAAATAAAAAAGAATAAATATTTCAAAAAATAATATCTACAATAATTCAAAATATCAAACATCCCATTTTAAACACCAATACACGCCGCCCGTGTATTGAAAAAGATATATAATTTCTGGTATAAATAATTTCTTTTTCATTCTTTGTCTCAAAGACTGTCTGAACTCTGAACTGAACATATTAGTAATCAACAGATTCAAATTTTAATTTTGACTAAGACGCTACATGCTAACCGCTAGGAGGCGAGCCCTGTGAATTGCGATCATCGTCTCATCCGACAATCCCATCTCATTATCAATATTCAATTCAGTACGGGACTCTCCAGCGAAGATTACCTAACACTAAGTAACAGGCAGCTGACAAGCATGTTTCGCCTGAATTATCGTGACTATTTTTTTCAAACTTTAAAATCTCTAATTTCTAAAATATTTGAAACCCATAAATCACTAAAAAAAAGTCCAGAATTTTTACCCAAATCCAGAATTTATTCACTCCCAGTTTCCCATCACTCCTTTTTTACCCAAAAAAATTATATCATTCATCAGCAAGAGAAGAGGAGAGAAAGGGAGGGAGGGAGATAAACCTGTATGCCGTTGGGGGAGTTGTGCGCAGTGAGAACTTGGAGTTGTGAGTCGGTCTCTGGTAAAGGTTTGGGCTCGAAGATTCTAACGGAAGCCAGCCTGGGTGCGTCCTTGAGGAGAGACAACTTGAAGGAGTCGCGGTCCAAGGGACTGTGCAGGAAAACATCTGAATTCGGGTAAACCATCAACAGGTTCTGGATGATGGATGGTCCCGTGAGTTCGAACCTCCTCGCCCCACCCACAAGGCAGATAGCAATTCTCGACCGCTTCAAATCCTCCTTCTTCTTCGCCAGCGATCGATTCTCCGGCGATTTATTACTGGGGACGGTGATAGAGGGAATAGACGGAGATTGAGGGTTGCGATCAGGAAGGAAGAATGTTAGAGGGGCAAAAGAAGAGTAGGAGTTGGTGGTGGTGGTGGTGGTGGTGGTGGAGAGATAAAGAAAGGCGATGAAAGAGAGGGGAGGGAGGATTAGGAGGAGGAGACGCCAGGGGAGATCGGAAGCCCATCTAGTAAAGAACATGATTTGGTTATTACCAGTGACTATCATACGGATGGTTGTTCAGCATCTCTGCTCTTGTCTTCTACCTCTTTATCTATCCTGTCGCACATCCTCATCGATGATAACAGAGACTCGAATCTTGCTTTTGGTTTTTGTCATGAAGGCATAAACTAACTATATAGAGAGAGATCGAAGAGAGAGTGGCTAGGTGGGGATGAGAATCATGAGAGATTGGTTTCTGGGTTGCTTTCCTCTCTTTATTTTCTCTGTTTTTTCTTTATTTTAAATTTTCTAGCTAAGAGGAAGCACAGACCCACTAACCCGATTCCAATATGAAAAGGTTTTTGTATTTTGGGTCGTGCTCTTTTGGAGTACATTACAGAGCAAAACTGGTGGGTATCTAATTATCTATCGATTCATAGATTCTTAACCAAGCGTTCGAGATATTGGCCATCAAATCAAAGAAAATTAAAATGCACGTCAAGACAACGAAGGGAGAAGTGAGATATAGATGAAAATAAATGTAGAGAGAGAGAGAGGAGGAGGAGGAGGAAAATAGGACTGTTTGGTTTGATAGAGAATAAGAGAGAAATAAAAAGCAAGAGAAAAAAAATTAAATGGTTCGTGGCCTGGACGTGAAACCAAATTGTATCGATTTTATATTATATTATTATTATTATCACTATATAAAATTAATTAATTTGATAATGATCCGGTTGTAATGACAATTTTTCTTTTCTGAGTCTGTAGACTTCACTTTTTTATTCAAGTGAGGAAAGTTAATTAGATTTGATTAAACAACATAAATGAGCGAACTATTTTAATTTAAGAAAAAAAACCGGTTTTGTAGCTGCGACCTAACCTGTTTACACTGTATTTTATAAATAGCAGCCTTATTGAGGAGCTCGCGTAAGTTGAAACTTGAAAATCTACATACACGCTGTCTCTTTTGATTGGAGGACTGCTGAAGAAGTGAAGAGTCAAGTCTAGTGTTCCCAATATCTAATCCGAGTCGAGATTTCTTACACCTCCTGCGCACTAACCAACGACAAGTGACAGGTGTTTTAATTAAACTTTGCAAAGCCAGAGTTGGAAGGAATTCAGTGTGGATCTACTGGTTACTACCAAATAACAGTATGCCACCAGCTGCCAAAAACCGTGTGAAAAATGAAAGTAATTCAGGCACTGAAGCACAGAAAGTGGTTTGTTTCCTCTAATTGTTGTCCCTAGTGACCTCCCTATTATAAGCCCTTGTTTCCTTTCGTCAACGTTGAAAGGTACCCAACCAAAGGTTTTATGTGGGTGTTCCGATAAAGGGAGAGCAGGATCTAGTCTACCGGTGACAAATTCTTGAGTTCGAATTCTTTGACCCTCGGGTTCACGGGAAACATGTACCTGCGAATGAAAAATGAGCACGTTACCTTATTAAGTTAACAGGAATTTAACAGAATTGCTCTGTTAAGGTTGGTCCAACCAGCCATTAAAAGACCAAAAAGTGAAAAACGACAACCTTTTCCATTCAAATTCCCCTCTCACCGTCTTTCAACATTAAACCACAGCGACCAAGTTGAGAGACCGATGATCAGTGACCGGTGGTAAAATCATCAATCTTCTTCTTCTCTTTCTGTCACAGACGGAATGGAAGTACAGGATATGTAGGTAGAAAAAGAAAATTTGAAAAACAATAAAGAATGCTAAAATCAATCAGAATACTACTCGCTCTTGCATTGCAACCGACATATTAGTTGATTTCATGCATCATGAGATCAATGTTTTCTGCTCTAGTATTCAGACTTTCAGGTAATCTTTTGCTACCAACTTCTGTGTGTCTATGTGTCGGGATCAGATCGACTGTAATTCAAACTTCATGTAATTGTGCTACAGCCGATTGCTTCTTGGATTATTCAGTCCATAATTTCAAGTGTTTAAATGCTCTTGGAAAATCTACATGTACTTAGTAAGGATTGGGGAATAGGAGAAAGCAAGAAATGAAGGTAATGACGAACAATTGATTTTTTAACTGTCCCTGGAAGGATTTTTTCTCCTATTACCTCAAGTAGCAATCCGGCTTTATTCATGATTTCCTTTTCTCCCCCTCAAATGTCAGAGCTTAGCCTACTTTAATGATCTTAATTTTGAAGGATAGACTTACTTTACTCTGACAGAAACTAGTAGCGGTTGATTCCTTGTTGCCGGATCAGACAAAAGGTGTTGGAGTTCTGGGACACGACCTTAAGATTTCAGAGGATTGTTGTTGATAAAAATGAGAAAAAGAATAAGAAAAGGGGAAGAAGAAGAAGGTGGAGGAGAAAGATAAGAAGAATTTATTGTCGGTCTTTGGTCGTCGGTTGATGCCTCGTGCTGAACGTCGATTGTTGTGGTGGCCGGTGGTCTAGTTACAATATGTTGAGACTTGAGAGACATGGGAGGGGATTATGAATGAGAGAGGGAAGTATTATTGGGGGGTGTTTTTTTGTCTTTTAGTGGCTGATTCAACCAGTTAAACCATTATTAGCCGAGCGATCCTGTTAAACTCCTGTTAATTTATTAAGACAATGTATTCATTTTTCTTTGGCAGTTGCATGCTTTCTATAAACCGAAGGGTCCACAGGATTCACGCTCTGAATTCTTTCCTCATAGGAAACAAGAGCCGCTAAGCAAGGTAGCAATTAATATATGAAATTCAAAGTACAGGTTGAGAGCTGAGGGACGAAGGAGGTTTATCCTTTTTGGGTTCTAAATATATGAAATTCAAAGTACAGGTTGAGAGCTAAGGGACGAAGGAGGTATATCCTTTTTGGGTTCTAAATATATGAAATTCAAAGTACAGGTTGAGAAAAGTAAGACCCAAGATGTATTTCAGCCCCCTCTGCCCTCCCGCTGCTGTTATCACCACTACTAGTTAATTCCTGTCACCTGCTTGAATAAATTTCACAATCAGTCATCGAAGAGAAGAGAGGAGATAATGAATTATGAAAGCCTCTCATCTCTTCTCTTCTCACGCGATCTTTTCATACGGTATTTTGAAAAATGGTGTATTGTCCCTCTTATGGTTGAAAAATAAAGATTCAACAAGGGTACAGCATTTTAACCAGAAAAAAAAAAAAAAACAAACAAACAAACAAACAAAAACAAAAACAAAGGTACAGAAAGGAAGAACTGATAGTGGCTTAGTTGACAAATTCTCTAGTTTGGGATCAAACCCCGTTGCCACCAGCAAGATGCCAACCAACTGGTTGGTAAGGTCTCTTGCTGGTCATGGCAGAGAATTGGGATCGAATCCCACCTGCACCTGAATTGAGGGATGGGCTACCTCCATTGTGTAGCCCCTTCGAAAAGAAATCAATAAAAAAACCATTGCCACCAGGGTTGGAGGCGTTATGGGTACAAGGGACGGGATGCCCCCTCCCCCAGTTGTAGTCCAATTAAAAAAAGGGTATAGATTGGTGTGAAACACTATATTTCATGATCAAGCAGTTTCACATTATTACCAAAATTTCCATGTACCCTTTAGGCTATGTGTGGTTTGAAGGAAAAAGTAGGAAAAGGAAGGGAAAGGTAAGAAAAACTTTACCCCATAGGTTACAAATACCAAGGCCTTGTTTGTTTACCACTTACCAGTATGTTGCGGACCGGGGGAGGAGGGGGTAAATTGCTCAACCAGGTAGTTGACCAACTTACCCGTATTTTTGTGCTACTATTACCTGTATTTTTGTGTTACCTGGGTAAATATTGGCACAAAATAACATTTTCTTTTAAGGCTGTGTTTGTTTTTAAGGAAAATATAGGGAAAGGGAGGGAAAAGCAGGAAAACTTGTACAAGGTTTGTATAGATTTTCCTACCGTTTCCTTCCTCTCCCTATCTTTTCCTTTACCTGAACAACTTTTTCCTTGGAATCAGAAAAGCACGTTACCCTGGGTACCAAAAAATGAACGAGGCCAGGATGATAATGAAACAGCAAGGAAGGAGGAAAGGAAATAAGAAAAAGAGGATGTAAAACCAAACAAATTCCCTACCTTCACTTCCCTCTCTTTAATTGCTCTCCTTTCGTTTAACCATGTGTCCGTTTTACCAAGAAAAAGAATTAAAAAAAAAAAAAAAACATGTGCTCGTACATATACACCTAAATGTAGAAATTTACGGTCAACAATAGAAGCCTTTTTTTTTTGTCAAATGTAGAAGTCGGTCTGCTTTGATTGGGCTTTGAGGTCTTTCAGTTTCTTCAGTATGTTTGTGAAGTAATCCTGTAAATATTTCTCTAACGTCACAATGTCTTTCTGATCCACCCCAAGTAGATTATATGTCTCAGTCATGGGAACCGAGAAAACTGTATCACTTGTAAGAACCTAAAAGAAATGCCACCATTCAAGTTAGCTGATAGCTGATAGGTTTATTTGCCATAAACCAAACATGCTACCTAAATCCAGCAGTAGTGGAAAATAAATCACATTAGGGTAAAAGATAACATAGATAATATATAATAAATATAAATATGAAAAAGATAAGAAAGAAGTATTAACGCATAACATCTTTTACAATAATGGGCTAAGAAATGTGTCAAGGAATCAGACTAGTTAGAATTTTAAGGAGATGAGAACACTATAATCATCCATTTGAGTGCATTGCTTTAGGTGGGCAAAGAATTGATGAGGTATAACTTCCAACATGTCCACAAAGATGTCTCTCAATGCTCAAACAGATACTTTTGAAAGAATATATCCCATGCATGAGACATCAAATAGTGATTCACAAGTCAAAGCACCACATGTACAATTTTTGTCATCCTCAATTCTCAGAGTTTGATGATGTTAATATGCAGACGCCCATCTCAATATAATTCATCTTGGGCATGTGCAGAGAAGACCACCTATTGCACGGAAAAGGAGTGTCTGATGCAAGTCAATGATTCTGAATGTTCTAGAGGGTGCCAGAAAGACACAAGTTGAGACTTGAGAGTATAGAAACCATTTGAGGACTGCAACAGTATTAGTGTAGCCCTTGTATGGTTGGGGAAAGGTTTAGTTTAGTTGATTAAGTTTATATATCACTCTTAAAATGAGCAGTTGCACCATTTTGGTACAGTCCATCCGAACAGCATGTGCAATTATAATGGAAGGAGGATTGAAGACTCAATGTGACTTCAGACTAAACATGTTACCTCCTGTTTCTAGATATGCCCAATATTAAGATTTACCACACTTATAATGTCTTTAGAGGAATACATTAAGCAATATTACTAGTGTGACATGGAAAAAAAATTGAAGTACTAGTACCTCTGAGAATGCCAATCTATCAGCAACATCGTTTGTCCACTGAAAAAATCGGGTCAGTTGGCGAGTGAATTTCAAGACTGAAACAGGAACAGTGGTTACATTTGCATCTTGCCCTGCAAGCCTCTCACACAATGTTATCACCTGCAACCAAAAAGATCAGTCCTAGCATCAAAGAATAGATTCTGCATTGTCATTTTTCTAGAAGGAAATGATCCTTGATCAATGGCTGCAACTAAAGAATAGGATTTTCAACTGTGCTAATAGAGTAGTAAGGATTAAAACAAAAATACAGTTAGAAAACAGAACATAAGGATACTGCTAGAAAATATGAAAGGCTAAACATCCAAGTTAGCATACTTATTTATGAATTCTCTAAATTGGACAAAAAGTAGCAAACAACACATGCAGAGTATTACCCTACACAATGAATATGCCCATGATAACATAAGTTCTTTACCTCTTGGGTTGTCCATGCACGAGGCCCAGCAAATGTGAGAAGCCTCTTGTTGATTTTCTCATTCCGTAAAGCTATGAATGTTAGTCGAGCTATATCCTGGAAAAGAAATAACCTATTTAGATGCTCACCAATGTTAGGTACAAAATACAGCATATTCACCTTCAAGAAACCACAGAGGGACCTAATTGGAAATAAATTTTGACCTGTGTGTCCATGTAAGCTATTCTTGTTGGAGCATCAGTTCCCCAGACAGACTTCTCTTCTAGTATAGGCACTGCATACTGACCGATCAAGGCCTGGACAAATTGGCAGGATGTATCAGTAATTGTCAGACAGAAAAAGGCATGGTCAGAGAAAGAAACTAGGAAATGAGGAAGACATGCTAGCATATATATCTAGTACCAAAGTATTTTATTTGAAGCAAGCAACATGTATCTTTCTTGTCTGAAAGTTAATTTACATCTCTGACCATTCAGTTTAAGGTGATAATGCAGGACCATGTACATGAAGATCAGCCCAGAAAAGGACTGTGATCAGCACTTTTTGATCTGTAACAAAAAACTTCTATTGATTAATGGTTGAAGATTAAATAATGGTTTAAGTATACCGATCAAAGAGAGAGAGAGAGAGAGAGTGGTGTCAATACGTACAGTAATGTAACAAGCAGTTGGGACTGCCTGGGTTTTGGCTACATGGGTAGGGGGTACAACCGTGCAAGTCAGACACCTGATTTGAAGAATATACACTACATTAGGCCCAGGCCCCTTCAAGTTTCTACAAATTCTCAACCTGAGACCACCTAAGTTGCACCCCTATACATGGAATTTTCCAGGCCCCAGGCCCATGTCATGACAGCACCATTCTTTCTTTTCTTCATTTCCCATTATTTTTTGGAGAAAAGTATAACTGAATTATATAAAAAAAGAGAACAAAGTGTACATGAGGGGATGTACATATCAACAAAAAATACAAAAAGAGCCCTCTCCAGAAAACTTTACAAAGGCAGAATGCTGTCACAATACATATTCTCCCTATGCACACCAGCTTTTGCAAACCCATCAGCCAAGCTGTTATACTCCCTGGGGATCCACCTTAGGCTATGATGCATCAAGGCTAAAGTCTCTGGCTTTGTCCAAGAAATGAACCAACCTCCAAGGTCCACAGCCAACTAACAGTGTTCTTTGAATCAACCACAGTAGATAAAGATGGTAAGGTCATCTGTTTAGCTATTCGAAGCCCTGTCAATGCAGCTAAGACTTCAGCTTTTGTGGAATTAGCAAACCCAATTGGCCCACTGAAGACTCAGCAGATGCTGCAATCTCTCCTCTGAAAAACACCGCCAACACCAGCCTCACCAAGGTTGTCCAAAGAACTACTGTCGAACATAATCATCTCAGCATCCTCCACACTCTGTTGGGGACCCACAGAAATGTATGGCGCACCCAATGCATCCTACTGTAGATCTTGCAGATAATATTTAGCTTTTAGCAAAGTGGGACTAAAATTTCTTTTCTTTGCTTTTATTTTTTTTTTGTAAGTATTTTCATGGTACTTTTTTATTGATTATTTGATAATGAATTGAAGTGATTTTTCTTTAACCCATTTTATAGCATTTGGAATTTCCCGTGTTCTTCACCATACAGTTCATCTTCTGAAGCTTTGTAATTAATTGCATGCCAGTCAAATTCCAATATGAGGCTTTTACTTGTGGAGAAGATACAGATCATCTATAAAACCAACCCTCTAGATCTGACTACAGTCAATTCTGTTTATTGGTCCTTCTAAATCAGGAATTAGTCTCTTCTAAATCAGGAATTTCCTGTGCTCGTCACCATAAGTTCATCTTCCAAAGCTTTGTAATTAATTGATGCTAGTCAAATTCCAATATGGCCTATTGCTTGTGGAAAAGATACAGATTATCCATAAAACCAACCCTATAGAGCTGACTACAGTCACAATTCTGTTTATTGGCCCTTACCTTCTAAATCAAGAATTAGTGTCACCTGTTTTCCCTCACTTTGCAGTCCAAGTAAGACAAGCACCTAGGACACTATTTTTCTCGATCTACTCTCCCACTTGACCTTTATCTGGTACAGAAACACCGTGATTGTTGGAATTAATATTAACCCAATTTCTCCTTGCACAGTCCGCCTAATACAGGAGCTGAAGTTGAAGAGAAATCATGGATGTGGTCATAAGGTTAAGTTTTATTCTTCAAGAAGTTTACTATTTGCGGTAAAAGTGATCTTACTACTTCTAGTAATTCTTGGAATTAATATTCATAGTAAAATCACCGAAAGGCTGTTACCCAATGTTGGTCCTGGCAGAGGTGGACTGGACACAGGCCTAACCTTTGGAATTTTTTTGCACACTCTTCACATACTTGAAGCTGCATTCTCAAGCTTGTCAACCTGAGATTTTACCCTTTCACAAAGAAACGGCCCCTTACATATAACAACACCATGATTTATTATTTTCAGTATTTTTTTTAGTTCTTTAGAATGTGGTTCTTACTTTCTTTAAGAAGTTTGTTTGAGATTAGAAGTTTCTACCAAGCCAAGTAGTATAGTTTTAGGAAATCTTGTTTTGGTCATTATGTATTTAAATTTGTTAAGCAAAGCCCAGGCCTTGGCTACAATAGAGCTTTATAAATCTATTGTAAGGCTTCAGTTAAGATATTGAATGAATATGGATTAGATTTGATTTGAAGTTGTTTTTGCGAGGTATAATTTCCCTCAATCTCTTTATCTCTCTCCTCTTGTTTGTTGTATCCCGTTTCAGCTCATGTCCTTAGACCACAAACATAAGATAATATAATTCATATTGCGCCTTGTACTGCTAAAGGTTGCACATTCAATTGGTTTTTCCCCTAAACTTCATTTTTTCTCCATCCTAAACCCACTAATATCTTCCCTAAGGCTATGTTTGGTTTGAAGGAAAAGGTAGGGAAAGGTAGGGAAACCTATAAAAGATTTGTAAAGGTTTTCCTAATTTTCCCTACTTTTTCCTTCAAACCTCTCACAGCCTAAACTTACCAGAATCAAGATAAATCAATTCCCAACATTTTACTAACTTAATTTTTCCTACAATCTCTAACCTTATTGCTGCTTCTCCATTCAGCATATCACAAATCTGGTTTGCAGTCTCCTCTTTGTCCTACATCACCACCCCAAGAGGGAATTGAAATTTCTATAAATCAGAAACTTAGAGTCCAAAATGCAGGATGCCCTGATTTTTTCCATGTCAGAAAATTAAACTACTCTCTTTTTATTCCACACAAACAGATTGAAGTAGAAAGATTCTTTAGTATACTAAGTTTTACTAATTAATGATATCCCTAATGTACCATTACTTCCATCAATAAGGCTAGGCTTTATCTCCAAGCATTCTATAATTACCCCAGTATAAGCTTGATTAAATGAAATTTAATGATCTTTTACGTATCAAAAAAAAAAAAACTTGATCAAAAGAAATACCCTGTAAAAATGGAAATAACTTCATGACAACTGCTTCTGTGCAAAAGTATAAACAGAAAATAAACGACTTAAAAACTGAAAAATGAAGTTGTAAAATTATTTTAATTTAAATGTACATTCAATGGAATGCCGTTGTTGAAGAAATATAAAAAGTTTTAGTTAGAGCTGATGGGTTACCTGCATGAAACCACATAATCGGATGACAATGTAAGTTAAACCTGACTCCTCTAGGAATTTCTCAGTGCAATACTTTATCTCCATTAAAGGAACTTCGGGATGCTTGTCGCAGTTGTGAATAGAAAAGAATACATATTTCTGAATCCCCATTGCTTTTGCACATTGTATTAAAGCAACTTTGCCTTCCCAATCTACCTAAACAGAACAAGTGGATTAAAAAAGACCATAACTCTGTAAATAATAACATACTAAATTACCAATTGTTGACCAAGTCTTTTCACATGTCTGAACACAATCTTCAAGGCACAAGCTTTTCATGCCACCTAAAATTAACGGTGTACTGGTAGACTGGTAGTCTGGTACTAAACCAAACTGCAAAGACCTATGATCGTGATCATATCTATTTTTGTGTGTATGCATGCATTTGACTTTTGGTTGTTAAACTAAATCCAGTCTTGAGACCTCATGGTCGCAATGCATTATGTCAACCAATTGAGATGCAATTTCAAGCATATAAGTGTAGGATTATAGTTTATTAATTTGATTAAATAAAAACAAAAGTAGTTTAATTGAAATGATGTATCACAGCCATGGAACACTATATTTATTTGGTCTTTAGAATTCCAATAGACAAATGCTGGATGGCAATATACTTTATGATTTTCAAACAGGACTGAACATAGAAGCAAGATTATGGTTCAAGTTGTAGATGCAGGAATGGTTAATGGGATTTCATTAAATTGCTTTTAAAAGAATGAATTGCTGGTTCTGATGAGTGAACAAGCCATCCAGTTAAAGAAATTGGCTGGGCCAATAGGATTATCGAAGCAACCAATTAATGCATCTGTTGTGCAAGCAAATCTGCAAAACTGCAATAACAATATAATGACATGACTAAATTCCAATTATTAACAACTGAAGGTGATGATTAAAAATGTCAAACCTACTCTCTGAATTCTTTTCAGGCTGAAATAGTTTTGAATAATCAATTAGCAAGTGTCTACAATAGTTCATTAAAAAAAGACAGTATATCTTTGTTACTATCAGTTATATAATGGTTTATGTGTATCTGAAGGTTATCTTATGCACCCTAGATCCAATTGCAGATTTCATAGAACCCAGTAGACTTGTGGGCATATTATCTCATGCACCCCAGAACCAATTGCAGGCTTCTAGTTATCTTCTAGAGTAGATTGAAGCCCAAGAAAATTGCTCTGACACCATGTAATAAAACAGAAAAAATAAAAGAGAGAAAGAGAGGAGAGCAAGGTTTTTAATGCAACCTAAAAGACTATTACAATATAAAATAAATGGAAAGACATAAATATCCCTGTTCACACATCTGCTAACAGTATCATTACATTTCAACACTTCATTTGAATAATAGATTCATATCTGAAGAAGATTATACCAAAGAGGATATATAGATGCAATGACATTGGTATGTAGTAGAGGATATTGCTTTATACTTGAGGTGAAGCATGCTCTCCATTTAAGATACAGGTTCAATTCCAGGACATCTATTGTGTGGAACTAGCACGGTAACCAACTACACCATTTTTTGGCTTTCCAGTTGGCTGTTGGAAGATAATGGCAGTGATTGATGTTCCCATGACATCAAAGTTTGTTGTTGTACTTATGACAGTTTCCAAAATACAGAAAAATGAAGCAGCAAAATGCATATCAGAGAAGCTACAAACACCAGTTGATACAAAATTAGGTTATTTGTTTGGGAAAAGGAACTCCAAACAGAACTCTGAATTGGTATTTACCGTTTTTATAGGCTCTTCTGGACGCCCTGTAGCACAATCAATTACTGTATGAATGCCAACCAGTGTTGCAGGTATAGTCTCTGGTTTGCTTAAGTCCGCCTGTTCAAACATAGTTAAAACTTTCACATTTCAGAATGAAGTCCAAATGGAGAGCGAGCGAGCGAGCAAGAGACAGACACACGGACAGACAGACAGACAGAGCAATGTTCAGCTCACTCATGACTGGTAGTCAAGAGACTTTACAAACCAATATCACATTATTATTACCCTCTGAGATTTATGGCATCAACTTCTAAAGTAAATAAAGGAATTAAAGACTGTTGTTTTCATGAAGGACCATTTAGGAGTTCAGAAATGTTACCTCCATTTATCTAAGCACCTATTAGAAAGCAAAACTACCTAAGAATATTTGCACCAATCATTGTTATGTAAAAAAAAAAAAAAATCCTAAACAAAATGCTTGAAACCCTTTTATGGTCTAATTCAAGTTATCTGAATAAATTGCACCCCTATATAAGCCAACAGTGTTTACTAGTCAGCGTTAGATGACTGTCCAGACTCAGAATTCTGTTGATAGGCAACAAATTATTGGCTCAGAGAAATGTTTAAGACAGATCTGGGTTCACTTGGCTGTTAGGTAGGTCCAGAAAGATATGATCAGTCAGGTTGGAAGCTTGGCATAGGGGCATTATCCATAGTCTTCCCTACTGAACCTGGAGAAGAAATAATCTTGAATTCTCTCACCATGCTCAATACATTAGTCAGTTTGATTTTAGCTACCACTTCCGCTTGTCTCAAAATTCAGAAAGTTGATCGTCAGTCTTCACATAAAGCAGGCACATTTCACCCTTTTCTTGAATTCCCTCACAAGAACAATTACAGGCACTTGAAGTACAAACACTTAAGGCAAGCATACTTCAACTAATTTTATTGAGTAATAAAATTAAATTGCTACCAAACCCAATGCAAGTTGCTACGAATATCTCAAAAAAAAAAAAAAAAAAACTTGAATCTTTTAGTGTCTAAAAGAAGAGGAAGAAGGTAGAGAAGATAAGAAGAGAGACAAATATAAAAGAGTATTTTGGGGGAATAAGTGGGTGTTATACCCTTTCTATATATATGTCAAAAGTTTAAAATAGTACAGAAATACAATAGTAACTCCTACCAGTAAATATGAGAAATAAGATGCAAATACCCTTACTACCTTACTCTCTATACCTGGTACCACGTAGGTTGTACAACTGATCTGATTTACAAAGAAGATAGTTACAAAACCAGTAGCTAAGACCCACCCTTATAAGGATAGAATTATGATCAGAAAGAAAAATCAAAGATAGCAAGCAACTTAGCCTACAGATAAACTAGAAATAGCAATATCATAAATATGATTGAATATGTAATGTTCTCAGTGAGCACGAAATAGAAGCATCTAAAACTTACATTGACAACTGTTGCTCCCCAGTCACGAAGGAAGTCAGCAGGAGCTGGCCGAGGCCTTACAAGGCATCTTACATCATAGCCTTCATCAAGAGCCCGCCTCACTACTTGCCTTCCAAGAGTTCCAGTAGCCCCAACAACTAATATACTTGTAGGCCTAACGGGGGTTCCTGGAGCCAGATTGATTGCTGCTGCCGTCGAAGCAGAACATTTCACCCTTAATGGTATGCAAGACCTATCTGAGAAATAAGATGCTTGCAAAATCAGATCGTTTCTTACATTAAAAAAAAAAAAAAAAAGGTATCAGCTAAATACCAAATGATAGGGGAACCAACAAAATAAAGAAGCTAAACATTTTAAACGAAGCTTAAGAAAATAGTGAACAAAAATTTGGAATGAACCACCTCTGTCCTGTAATACATTGGAGAGTTTAGCAAAACTACTGCCAACTGAAAATAAAAATTGTTGAGTTGATTCTCGAATATGCCCAGCGATTAGAACAAAGTAGGAAAACAATCGTCATAACCCAAGCTTTTTAGGATTTTATTTCAAAAGAATTTTCCTCGAAATCATGTTAGCGATTCTGTAAATTGCAAGATGTCGTCAATTATTATGAGCCTGTCCCTACAAGACCTACATGACCAGCCTATATCAGATGGTGAACATCAAGAAGAATGAAGTCTGTTTTGTTAGTTTAGTACTATGAGATTAAAGAGCAGTTGATATTCTCAACCCGCTTCCAGAGACTGAATGTTTTGGGAATAATAATGAGGGCATAGATGGTTGAATTTATCTGTCAAAACACCAACGCCCATCCGATATTAGGTACCAGAACTAGAGCTTACATGAGCGTTTCCATCACACAATCATTGTTCAGGGAAACAGAGCTATCTACATAAGGTCTGGCCTCTGGGAATAGAATGTAGTTCAGAATGAATATCCTCACTGTCAATTTGAGAAAAAAAAAAAAAAAAAAACAATTCCATTCAAGATTTGCGATCACTTTATTAATTGGGGCAGCTGCAGAGTCGAAACGATGTGAATGATAACTAGCTAGCTGTTCTAAAGTCTCTAGTCGAAGGATAATAACTTGCCTTGGGAAGAGGAAGGTTGAAGCGGCGCCGATAGGGAAGAGGCCGCTGCAGAGAAGATATCGTCTTGTGATAACGTGCGTCTCCAGCAAAGTGATGCAAGGCGGTGGCTATAGGATTTGGTGTGGAAGTAGTGGAGATGGTGAGGGGTAGCTACCTCTACCTTGGTGGGAAGACTGCTACACCTTAACGCCATTGCTTGCCTCACTCCCCAACTTGCGTGTTTCGTTTCTTAAACCGACTAGAGTAAAGACTGAAGTTCCTTCACCTCTGCAAATCTCCTTCTCTATCTCTCATTTCCTCCCTCACACCGTCCCACGACGACCACAAGAGAGGAAGTGAGAGGAGGCGAGGAGCAGTCGATCTCAAAACTGCCACGTCGTTCCTTTATCAATTATGGATATGGATCAGCCTGGCTTTTTGTCCAACTCATAGTTCTACGCTGGGGCAGGTACAAACGAGTTCGGATTTGCTCCTCTCATAGCACTTGGAGCCACAAATCTGGAACATCTACGTACATACGTACATGTAAGCTATGGAGATGTTCACAATGTACGGCTGTACAATTTTGTAGGAAACGCGCTCTGTGAGAATCAAATCCGAATTCGTACAAACAACACGTGTACAATAGAGATGCTCGCCTGACCATGCTCAGACCGTTCACGCAGTCTTTTATATTCGTGTATTGGGAATTTGGGAATCCCTCCGTACATAATGGTTTTTTCATGGGAGATATTCCCAAGCATGAGCAGTCTTGTGAGGATAAATCTGATTTATTTACAATAGGCTATACAACCCAAGTTAGAGTGAACACGTTATTTACTAATTACAAGTGAACACATGTCCATTTGCCACGTCCATCCATTTAATCCCTTATCATTTATGGTAAAAAAATATCGAGTGTCCTCTTTAATAAACCCGGATCTGCTGTAGTCGACCCCATGATTGATTGCCACCTATTCTTTCCACAAGTGATAGTCTTATCATGTGTATTAAGAACATCTCTCAATGATGACCAAAAGTCCGAGAAGAGTAGTGAAAGGACTCCCCAGAACTGTTATTTCATGAAGAACTTCCAAATCTACAACTCCCGAGGATTGCGAATCTTGGAGGAGTTTCATTGCTTGAGTGCCCGGAAGTCCAAGAAGAGTAATGAAAGAACTCCCCATAATTGTTGCTTCCTGAAGAACTTCCAAATTTGTAACTCCTAGATCTTCTTCTTCTTCTTCTACCCCCCATTCCCCTTGCGTTTGAAAAAACCCTATTTTCTTCGTTGACAAGAATCGCAAGGGATGTAGCAGTGGTTGGAGAGAGGGATCAAAAGGGGTGCCCTCATGCACCCAAATCCCAAGGTCTGATGAATTCTCCTCTCCTCCCCCAGTGGTGGCAACACCAACTCCCCCAAACCTGTGCCACCAACTTCAGCCTCAAGATCACCAGCTTTAGAGTTCAACAATGGCATGATCAGCTTTGGGGTCCAAAGAATGTCTTGGCCTGAGCATAGCCTCAGGCGAACATGAAAACCCCACTCCCTTCGACCATCGACATCTCTCTGATGGAGAAAATAGGAATTTGGATTTTATAAAGATGGGAATTTGGATTGTTCTCTGAGTTCACATAGATCAGATTTTGTCAAATCTGCAAATCTTATCTCTATCAAAAAAATGAACCTAGAGATTGAAATTTCTTTTTTGCACGATGAATAGAGATCAGATTCATATGACAGGCACTGACACCCCTATGTTTCAGACGATCAGCAGCACGTCAGGGTGAAGATAAGGGTAGTACTATCATTTTTTTCAAAATATAACACTCATGTGGTGTGGCTTATGAGTAGATTATGATGGAACCCTAACAGTAGGGGAGTAATTAGTCAATTGCCAGAAACAGTAGGGGTAGTGCAAGACAATAGTTAAACATTAAGGGTAGAGTTAGTCAATTAGCTAAACAATAGGGGTAGTTTAAAAAATTTACCTCAATTTTATTGGATTTCTAGGCTATTGTATACATTAATTCAGCCAATGCTACCAGAACACTTTGAATATAGATATCTGTGTTGGGTAAGTGTTCATTCTACTTTGACTACTAGCATCTTTCAACAATACAAGTTAAATGGATTATTTGAATCTGATTTTCCCCTCTGTCCATTGTTGTTTCTGACAAATAATTATTATATGAGTTTATTAGGACAAATAATTATTATATTATTGTTTTATGAATCCTCAATATGTTACATGACTTGGTTAGACTTTGTAGAGTAGCATACATCACCTATATAACCACAACCATACACACAAGGAGGGACATAATTATCAATGTCTTTATTCAAAGTGTTCTGGTTGCTCTGGTTGGATTTGTATAAAAGAAAACCAATAGCTTTGGTTGAGTTTGTACAAAAGAAAAAGTATATTAGGTTTTCTTGGGAAGGAAAAGATGATGAGGAAGAGATGAAGAGTTAAAATAGGATGGGAGAAAAAAATACAATTATGGGATTCTTGGGCTATACAAATTAAAAGATAAATAACAAAACTATTAACCTAACGATGGGCTTTGTTAAGTAAACCACACATGAGAAGACTACCACTTGTGCAAAGAACAGGTGGCAATCAATCATTGGGTCTACAACAAAGTCATTAGTTGTAGGTCTACAACAGATCTGGGTTCTCTTTTACACTACACACATGGTAATTAATATCCTATAATTTCCCACAACATCCCCATCTTAGTTCTAATAGTCCACTTAAAATTTTCCATTGTTAGGAGTATTAGATCTTGTCTCCCATTTGTAGTGTATGTAGGTCATGACTAGCATAAGTTTGGTAAAACATGTTCTTGAACCAAAATCCTTTAGGTTGTGTTTGGTTTGAAAGAAAAGGTAGGGGAAAATGTACAAGGTTTGTATAAGTTTTCCTACCTTTTCTTTCAAACCAAACATAGCTTGTCTTAGTGCAATTGTGCAATTGTGCAAGTGTACTCACTACACACATCCTCCTCTCTATAATGTCTAATTCTAAAAGTTTGATGCATTACAACCATGCATCCATACCTTGATTTTCATTACTTCTCTGGAGAATTTAGACCAAATTTTCATAGGAAGCGGCCCCACTCCCACACTCATATAGGTGAATTATCAAGTGTGTTGCAACAAACACACCACTCATAAGAGATATAGACTCATTAAGTGTATAAACTCAACCTTCTAATTAACATTGCATCAAATACTATTTATACCATCAGGATGGATAACCAAAACATATATGCTTCACCAATCTATCAATGACTTGTGCTTACCCATTGAACATCCTTCATGGGGTCTCAAATCATAGAGGTTGGATTGCCACTACTACAAATTTAACTCATGGGCTTCAACCCTATCTCCTTTGATGTCTTAAGTAATGACTTTCTCATTAGCCCCTTAGTCAAAGGATCTATAAGATTCTTTTATGATCTTACAAACTAAAGTATGACCACACCATCCCTTAGGAGTCTTTTCGCAATGTTGTGTCTCAATAGAATGTGCCAATTCTTCCCATGGTAGGTACCATTCTTTGCTCTTACAATCGCAACTTAGTTATTACAATGCTAGAAATAGAAGGAATAGGTTTTTCCAATAAGGGTATATCAACCAATAAATTACGAAGCCATTGTGCTTTAACACCAACATGTTCTAAAGCAATAAATTTAGGTTCCATAGTTCATTGTGCGATGAAAGTTTGTTTAGTGAATTTTCATAAAATGGCTCCACCTCCTAGGGTAAAAACATAACCACAAGTGGATTTGGTTTCATCAGAATCTAAAATCCAATTAGCATCACAATATCCATTTAAAGCGGCAAGATATCCATCATAGTAAATTCCTAAATCCATAGTATCTTTAAAGTACCTCAAAATTCTAAGTAAGGCATTCTAGTGGTCTTGTTTGGGGTTATAAGTGTATCTACTTGGTTTGCTAACAACATATACAATATTCAGACATTTATAATTCATGAAAAATATTGAACTACCAATGATTCTAGCATACTCACATTGTGCAATTTTATCGTCATGTTATTTTCTTTAATTTAATACTAGGATCATATGGTGTTCTTATAGTAATACATTTAAATTGATTGAACTTTTTCTTTAATATCTCTACAATGAGATTGTGTTAAAGCCACGACATATAATCGTATCAACTTCTCTCAAGTCTTTCATATCAAAGTTAGATGAGAAAAGCCTCTTAGTGAGCCTATAGTTATCAAGCCTAGATTAGTTTTATTGTCTAGGTATCCCATCACTAATCATGGGCATTCTAGTCATTTTGATGTAATGTTCAAATCTTAATATAATATAAGTTCTAGGGCCAACTGATAACACTTTTACCGCCCATTCATTCTTTTCTTTTATTCTCTTCATTCCATGCTCTTATTCTCTAGCAAATCAACAAGCAAGGTATCAGAGCGTTAATCGGCTTGACTATTGGTTATTTGTAGTCTTTTTTTTCATTCTCTTTTCTCCTATCTTTTTTTTTTTGTTCCTGTGAAGAAGAATTGTAACTTACAAAGAGGTATATATCTAGGGTTTCTATTTGGGTGTAGGGACCAAAGAGAGTTTTTCCCAAACTGTGCATGCCCTATTAGAACTTATTTACAGCAACCAATAGCCATTTGACTACTAGAGAGATTTGTTAGAGCAAATCTAGAAGGAGGACTGAGTGGATAGTCCTAAATTTAGCCTGGAGGGTGGTTTATAGTGCAACCAATTATGGGTGTAAGGTTTCTTGGTGTAGTCAATTACATGTGTAAGGTTTCTAGGTGTAGTCAATTACAATTATAAAGTTTTTATAGCATCTAGAAGGTGTAAGGAGGCATGAATGTTGTTGTTTTGTCCAATAAGGTATTGCTATCCGTTCGACATCAGTTTCAACAGGGTATTAACCCATTCTTTTGGTGACAACAATTAAGTATTGTTGTTAGAAGATAAACATGTCAACAATCTAAGGAGAAGTGTCTTTTAAGGACAACCAAGCTATTGGGAGAGCCTCAAACCTTGATAATCCTAACTAGTGTAGCCTACAAATCACTAGTGTGTTGTTGGATGAATATAATTTCAGAGAATGGTCTATTTCAACAAAGTTATTCATCGTCTCCCAAGATCTTATGGGCTATATAAATGGAAAGAAGAAGAAACCCAAGGAGGATGATGCTAAATACTCAACTTGGTATAGAGAAAATGCTACTATTATGTCTTGGTTATTTGCTTTAATGATTCTGAGGGCAACAAGAACTACTCAACACTTTCCTACAACCTTCAAGATTTGGGAAAAAGTGTCTAAGACGTGTAGATAATGGAAGAACAATGCAAGAATTTACAGATTAACACAAGATATTGCTA